ATAGCATAGAATAGCATAGAATAGAATAATGAAGAATAGAGTAGGGTAGAATAAATAGAATGGCATGGCATGGCATAGCATAGCATAGCATAGAATAGCATAGAATAGAATAATGAAGAATAGAGTAGGGTAGAATAAATAGAATGGCATGGCATGGCATGGCATGGCATGGCATGGCATAGAGTAGAGTAGAGTAGAGTAGAGTAGAATAGAATAGAATAGAATAGAATAGAATAGAATAGAATAGAATAGAATAGAATAATGAAGAAGACTAGACTAGGTTAGGATAGGATAGATTCTGGAAGGGACCTTGGAGGTTTTGTAGTCCAGCCCCCTGCTTAAGAAGGAGAACCAATGCCAATTTAGATAAGTGATAATCGAGACCAGGGATGTCAAACTCGATTTCATTGAGGGCTGCATCAGGGTTGTGTTTGACCTTGAGGGGGCTGGGTGGGAGGCATGGCCAGCTTGACATCACTTGTGTCGAGGGCGCTTGTGGTGGCTGGAGAGCTCTGACAGTGAAAATGGGCACCCGAGTTCCGTTTTCGGCTGCGACGGCCTCCTGCAGCCCTCTGCCAGTGAAAACAGAGATCGGGATGGCAGCCCTGGCATAGGCACTGTGGGCCAATCCTTCACGGTTTCCAGGGTGGCCCCGCAGACCGGATCTAACCATCCTGTGGGGCAGATCCAGACCCTGGGCCCTGAGTTTAACCCATCTGGTCTAGAGACTCTTCTTAAAAACATCCAGATGCTCACTATATAACCTCAGATGCAAGTTTCTAGAAAACAGCGTTCTGTTGTAATTAATTTGAAGGGCTTGGCTCTAAACAAGGGATTTCATCATGATTTCTGGATGGAGATTAGACTCATATACCTTTGGGATGTTTGTCTGTTTTTCAATGTTGTGGCTGTGCCCATAAAATTAAGCCTTTGCAGACATTCTTTTGGGCACATGACCTTCTGACCCTAAGATTCCATAATAGATCCCATCCATGAATCCAGGTTTACTTGTTTTAGCTTTAAAGGTTATTGGTGATGGCTTTGCCAAAAGCATGAGAAGCACTCTTCCGACCTAGGTTTCCCCAGCAGCACGAAGCCGAGTCCTCGTCCTGATAAACCCCTTTTATTTCATGTACAGTGAATTCCTCTCCAGCAAAGTCTTCCCCCCCACAGTCTTTCAAGATAGTTCACAATTACCGACTTTTATCAGGCTTGAAGAGTGGCCAGGCCGATATCTTCTAAACGCCCCAAAACTTGGCAAGAATGCAGGAATGAACTAATTGTTACCTGCAAACTCCACTCTCCTTTCGCTCCTCTTTTATTCCCTATGGGAGGGGCCATTCACCTGTGGCTTTACCCCCCAAGTCAACCCTTGTTCCTTAGCTGTTCCCTTCATCTGACAACTCTGCACATGGGCACACTGGGAACAGGCTCAAGCTGTTCATCTGCCTCACTGCTGTCTGATAACTGCCAGACGGCCCTGTCCTCATTTGTTTGTTTGTTTGTTTGTTTGTTAAATTTCTAGGCCGCCCAATCCCGGAGAACTCCGGGCGGCTTACAAAGAAAGAAAAAGAAAAGCAAAATAAAAGAATAATTTAAAAATTCCCAACACGCATGGTTCCAGTATGGGCAATTACAGGCTAGGTGGAAAATAGATCAAAAAATTGGTTTTATCCAAGTTGAGGATAACTT